TCCAAATGACTTCTGAATTATTCTGAAGTTGAAAATGAAAGTGAGGCAAATATTTTTCTTTTCTTCTTCTTACTTAAGCACTATTTTTTATTTTCTTACTTTTGCTTTAAATCAGTGCAAATCACAATTACATACTCATCATGCTGATCATTATACTCATTACCGTTTTACTGAAATAGAATTACTTTTTTCCATTTGCTTTACCACTTATTCTAACAGCCACTCATTTCTGACTTAAATTTTGAGAATAATATGAAAACTGAAGTTGTAAAGTAGAACCAGAACAACATTAATCCATAGCAGTTTATAAAAGCAAAAACAAGTATTACCAACATATTACCTCTTCATTTTTGCAAAAAGTTTAATTTTCATTCCTACTAATTGCAATTCTCAATTAGAATTGGAAATTTCGACAATATTATATTATTTACAAGTTTTACGACTTATTTTTTTCTGTATACTCACTTAAATACAAATTATTCCCAAAGCAATCCAAAATTTCTGCGAGGTATTAAATTTTGCTAATTTTATAGTTGCAAACCATTTGATGTCCAGTAACTTCGATCAAAAATAAACGCTAAATATGGTTAATTTTTTCACGTCTTCAAATTTCTTTTTTCAGGAAGATCGCTAATCAATTTTAAATGAAAAATTTTATCATGAAGACAAAAAGTTGCAAGATACCAGTATAACGGATTGACTATTTTAAATGAATAGATAAAAAGTGCTGTTTAATTTACGCTTTTAAAAATATATTTGGGCTTTATTGTAACTTGCATGATCTGATGCAATTCAGGTATTAATTTCGTTTATTGTTAATGTCCTCAAGTGAAATATCTGTGAATTATATCTTATTCCAAATTTTGTTTTGTTTTATTTATCACTCTAAATTTACCATTGTAACAAATCATTACTAGATGACAACTGCAATTGCTTAAACTAACGATACTAAATAAGTTTATAATCAGTTACATTCATAAAAACATATGTCATTTATTATAAACATGCAAGTATAATATATGCATAATTATTTGTAAAGAAATAGCTTATGATTGCATAATGTTTTTTGATATAAAAGTAGTTAATATCTTTGAAGTTAAAAATACAGAAAAATAAATCAGTGAATAAAAGCAAACAATAATAAACAAAGTTATTACTACTCCTGCTCAAAGTTAGCTTCAGTTCTTATGAGTTCTTCTTTATTAAATTGTAATTAAACTGGACTACCTTTCTGAATAAAATTTTTGTCTCTTTTGCTTTTCTAAATCAAAAACATTTCTAAAAGTCACTGAATTTTCAGAAAGACAATGACTTACTCTAACAAAAAATAATTTGAAAGAGAATGCTGTAATTGAAGATGAAAAATGCCTTGTCCTTCAGGTAAGGAAAAATTATTTCAAATAGAAATAAGTTAGCAAAGAAAATTGTCTTTTCACTGCTCAAAAGCAAAACATAAAACGTTACTACAGCATAGTACTGAATTCAAAAAATAAAAAATTCAATTCATCAAACTTTTTATCTTAATCAAATTCTCATTAAACCATAACTTTTGTTAGTTGATTTCCAATTAAAATAGAGTAGTTTTACAAAAATTTACTGAATGAAATACTGGCAATTATGTTTGAATAATTAAGGTAAAGTAACTGTTAATGATATCATTAGAATGAATAAAGGAACTTGAATAATGATTTTTTTAGTCAAATCTTTGTTTTTTTTTTAATTTTTTACAATAAATCAGTATGTAATGAATTACAAATAAAATATTAATATGTTCAAGTTTTTCTTCGATGATCTTTTCTTTATTTTGAAATAAAGTTTGAGTTGAAAATTTTGAATGAATAAATAAGTAGATAAATACAAAATTGGACTTAACAAATTAGAATGAGCAGAAATAAAAACGATGCAAATACAAGTAGATGGTAATAATATTTGTAAAGCATTTATGTAATTCAATCAAGAAGTTATCTCTTATCGTTATAAATTTTTTGATTGAAGTTCTATATATCGCAGAATGCTTTTTTCATCCAAAATTCTCTACCCTTTTAAGATTACAATATTTACTGAAAATTAAGCAAAGTAAGAATTAGGTAGTTTGTTTTAACAGCAAAACTTGCAAAAAAATGCTGCAAAATAAATAAGAATAAAATGTGAAATCATTTGAATAAATACCGCTCATTTTTAATTATTGCATTATATTTGTTGAAAAATGAAAACTTTTGCTGATTCGTTTTCATCAATGCAAAAAGAAAAAGAAAAAAAAACTCTTTACAATTAAACTTGCAATAAATGATGCATCTTAATAAATTTTGACTTTAGTATTTGAAAGTTTTTGAAAAAACAAAAAGATTGAATTAAAAAAAGTCGCTATCAGTCTGAAACACTTTAAGGAACGTAAAAAAATTGAGCTGAACAACTTGTCTAAAAAGTTTTTGTTTTTTTCAATAAGTGCAAATTTTCAATACCAGTTGTCAAGTTTCAAAGTCTAACAACCCAAGAGCCGATTTCGCATTAATATGTTGGTTAATTTTTTAATTAAACTGGTTCATTTTCCTGAAATTATCAGCTCTTCCTTAATTATGAAGTTATGTTTATGTTCACATTAATGAATAACAAAAAAAATTCAGAAGGTTCTTTATATTGTGTATGAATGTATTGATAAAATTGTATTTTCAGTCTTAAAATATAAGCCAGAGATCAAAGTTTTACATTAAATTTTTATAACTTCCACATCTGATATTTAACGTTACTGATCATTTGATGCTAAAAATTCCCAAAATTATTACCAGGGGTTTTCTTAAGTGAGCTAAAACCCTTTCTGATGATTATTCTAAGTAACTTTAAAAATTTTTACCCTATGATAGTTCTTCTAATTTTATTTTTTTGGCTGCAGTTCTCGTGTAAATAATTACTGCTTTTTGAAATTAATTGTGTCATTTATTTAGTGTCAGTAGAACATTGATATTAATTCGTGCAATTTAATTTGTCAAACTATCGTTGTAACTGATTTTTTTTTGCCTGTTCTCAATGAACGTTTCCAATTTAATTCAGTCACGCAAAAAATACTTCATCTCTTTTACTGACTTTGTAAAGAAACTCTATTCACGCTTGTTTACTAAATTTCCGTACAAATATTTCACATGATCATAAATGCATGTATAATAGTAATTTTATGAATTGCCTGTTTGAAAGCAGATATGATAAGTAAAGGAAAATTAAGCTCTCCACTTTACTTAAATAGTTTACTCATTACTTCTAAATACTGTTGGTCTATTTCCCATAAGAAAAGCTTGGCTGTTAAATTATTATTTTTTGTCAATTTGATACCATTCAAATTTATTGGGACTAGTTTTGTATTTTTTTGTTCTTGAGAAACATTATTTCTTGTATTTTATAATTTAATAAAGAATAACAGTAGCAAATTTTTAAATTAACATAGATGATAATCAGAGAAAATTCAACAATTTTTCCTAAAGAACTTGCTTTACATGAATTCGAAAAAGGAAATTGACGGCAGCTGTACGTACTTGCTTAAGAAATCGTTCACATGAATTGCACAAAAAAATATCAGCTGATAAACACTAAGGAAAAGTAAAAAAAAAGAACCAAAGTTTATTACTCACGTGAAAGCAAATGTAGAAGAAAACATATGAATTATTAGAAATAATACTAGTATGTCTTTAGAAGCTTTTACTCACGTCAATAAAGATCGAGAGATAAAAATTAGAGCATTTATTTAATCATATTATACAATAACAAACAATATGATTAAGATATGAAGGTTACAGTGAAGTAGTAAGCTTAACATTATTTAGATAATACAACACTACATAATATACAAAAGCAAATAAATGTAACAAATTTGACAACTTTTCAACTCCGAGGATAAAAGTAGCCATCTAATTATAGACTCATGCAAAGTATGTAAAAACTATAACTCAATAAATCTTAATATTTTCAAAGTAATGATGGCAGTATATCTAATTCTGCTTTTTATTATTTTTTCATCATATTTTATGCTTTGTAGATTATAACACAAAGGCTCAGATTTAAAGACAAAAATGTCACGACTCTTGCTAGCAATTTTTTTTCCTCAAATTATCGCTTGTTTATTTAATTTATGGATGGCTGTTTTTGAACGAATACGAGAAAAATACTGTAACCATTTCATGAGTAAATGACAATGACAGATGCTAATACTAAGTATTCAAAATTGTCTCGAGAACAATATTTAGTAACATGGCTAACTTACTGCAATCGTTTTTCATAAATCTTTCAAAAATCTGCTACAACAATGCACACCACTATGAATGAACACCACCTTTGAATCTTTACTAAATTTGGCAATTATTGAAATTTTCAAACTTTATTTTACAGCTTTTCATCATTTTCAGTAAAGTTTTTTAGTTAGATTTCTGTGAATTGCCAGCTACACTGCTTAGTCACTGTTGCTCACATCTTGCAAAAATACTGTCCAAGTTCAAATATCAGCCAAAGTAACTAAAGACACCTTAAACTACAAGAAACACTAACCTAACAATTGCTAAGTGCTTAGTTGCTTAGATTTAAGTGCTAATATAAAACATAAGGAAACTATCATAGCGCTTTAAATAGTAACAACGCAATTAAAAAATCCATAATTACGAAATTACTCCTTCCACCAGTGTAAGTTACGTGATTACATGAATTGAGTGAATGATTGATTTTATAACTAGATGGTACGTAAATCAGTACATCAAATTTTATATATTCAATAATTAGTAATACATGGAACGAGATCTTCACTAAATTGATAAATAATGTGTAAGATAAGTTACTATATACAAACAGTCAATTTATCACTGTGCGGTAATCTAAAATAATTGGAAGACAAAGACATGATGAAAATTGAAACAATAGTTATAATTTAAGAAATGAAAAACTTCAAATTTCAACAAAGGGTCAAACGTTGTTTATTTGAATTCATTGCATCCATTTCACTCATAATAAATTTGGTACATACTTTATTTTTCAATATTATAGAAGGCGGAGATCTGTTGCTGTTTAATCGCATTATGACGCTCGATGGGAATACGTTCAACTTGAGCTTCTTCAGGAGCTAAAAACTCATTTTTGCAAATTATAGCAGAAGTTTTTTATTATAACCAATTCAGTAAACAAATAGTGTAATTAATAATTAAATATATTCAGTTTTCAAAAAGGTCATAAATAGAGGAATCAAACAAGTGCTTTTTTAATCTGCAAACATAGCTACCAAAATAGTTCAATCTTATGTGCTGCAGATAAATTCTTTACTTGAAATTCTGCTTAAGAGCAATTTCTGATCAGATACAATAGAAGAAGCATTATTTGTTACAATTATACAGATAATGATAAAAGCATAGACCAACTTTGTTCCTCATCAAATTGCTCGCATCCATTTTCAAAATAAATCAGTCCATATTGTTCATGCTCTCGGAAATATTCAGGACTTGATAAAGAATCTTCATCACGTAACAGACACTTGCCAGATAAAGTATCAAATGTTGCCGACTGCAAATTTTTTTGAGAATAAAAATGGTCTTTAGGATGAACTCTGTACATGAAGGAGTCTGAATAAATCTATGTAAAATTGGAGATCTGTAAAGAAAATTATGGTCAAATATTTTTATTTTTAAGTTTGCGATACTGAGAAATGCTTTAAAGATGCCTTGCAGTGGAAATAAGAAGCCAAAACACAAAGTTCAATGCATGCATGCAATCCGTCACGTCCTTTTGGCATGTCATCGAAATGTTCACGAGGTTCGACATCTAATGTATAATCCCGAAATGCGATGAATTCAGAACATTCCTTGAAAATCGTTAAACTTCCTAGAAATAGTTTATTTCATTTTAAAACTTCGGTAATTTATAAATCGATATTTGCCAACATAAATTTAAATAAGTAATTAGTGAGAAATACTATCAATAAATGATTCACAAAATTAGCTTTTGTAATTTTAGAGCAAAAAATATTCCACACTCAAAATCACTGAAAACCATATAAATATGACAAAATTTGACCTGGATAACAGAAGATCATGGCAGTACGGATATTAAAATCAGCTTGAGGTGACGGTAAAAGAGTTAAAAATGACACAGCTGCTGTATTATCCGTATGCATCATGCATTCGCGCTTAATATCATCATATGTGTATGCAGGACAGTCAAGCCCCAAACTCTACAATTGGTTTGAATTAAATCGCAAAAATGAAATTTGATTAGATGAAAGTTAGAGCTTGACATATTTTACTGTTACCGCTAGAAAAATGTAACAATGAAATTTTGTACTTCTACATGTCTGAAAAACAATCAAAAGACATAGTAGGTTGCAATCAGAAAACTTAAACTTAATATTCTTTTTGCATCATATACAAAAGAAGTTTGAATAAACGAACTGTGATAAGGTTACACTTTTCTCGACATGAGTTATATGAATCGACTTTTATCAACTTCTGTGGCTTATCAGTTTGCAATACAGAATTTTCTACAGATAACCACACGTCACGTTCATTGCTTCCACAAGCTGATATTTAAAAAAGAATATACTGATCTTTGACAAGGTTAAAATAGCTTGAAAAAATTTGGCGATTGAATTATCAACAAGAAAAATTTCAAATAAAATATAAAAGTTTACAATTTTTACCATACGTAATATGCACGAAAAAAGATGCATCAAATATTAACTAAAAAATTCTGATTAACTTTTATATCTAAACAACATAAATCTTTTAATGATAAGAATTAGTGGGAATAATGGTGACCAGAAATGATGAAAGACTGCAAGTGATTAAATACCACAAGAATTATAACCTCGTAAAAGAAGCTTTTCTGATTTTCTACCATGTCCCGAAATTGTCATTGAAATCGATTTGATAGTTGGCACTGGTAACGATTTTTCTAGGATAGATTCTTCTCCACCATATGTTTGCGGTATGTCAGCAGCGTTCTAGATATATATACAACTTATGCAGTGATAAAAGACACCAATCATTCTCAAATTAAAGAACATTTTCAATATTCTAAAAAATATTGTTCTTGACCGAAAATTGTCATGGACTCACAAAAAATTATGATTTCGAATGACACCTTAAAAAAAATGAAATAATCAACTTTTAACGAACAAATAGACAAGACAAATAATTCATCGATAATTTGAACCGATTTAAAATTAAATCTTTATACCTATTCTATTAGTAGATACTTCAGAAAATAATCAACAAAAAAGTAATACTAATTATCCGATTTTACCTCAAGTAACTGCTTGACATTCAATAGTGACGAAACTTTAACCGGTGAACGTCGAATGTCTTCTGGTGATATTTTTAACAACTTATTTATATCTCTCTCTCCACTTAAATGATCTTTAATTGTTTTCACATTTACTGGTAATTGTTCTTCGATATTTTTTACAATATCTAAGTAGTCATGAGAAGTATCGACTTCCTGATTCGACTGGTGATCAAATTCTTCAAATGGCTGGATTATGGCATCCTCAGGATAAGAAGTAAGTTCTGGTGAGACTGAGGGAGATAATTGGGACACTGAAGCTATTTGGATCACTTTCTGATGAATCTCATCCGATCTACTTTCATTCTCACGAAAATCACTCACTTCTAGTGGTACAGAAGCTACAGTGGCAATGACAGTTGTATTAGCAATAGCAGCAGTAATATATCTGTTAATTTGTGAGTTAAATGATATTGAGGTATTTGAGATAACATTGGGTTTTTTATGTTCTGCACTGATTAGCAACTTGTGTTCTTTAGAATAATTGAAATATGGTGCTGGAGTTAGAGCTTGACCATCCTCAGGTATATGGATGAGAGGATTTGCATGAGCCACAACTGGTTGTTGTGTCTCAAGAAAACCTCGGTTAATACCGTACTGCGCAGTTGGCGAAAGTGTTTTAGAAGTTGCCACTTGCGAATCAAAAAGTGCAGGATTAGATCGTCTCAAAAATTCGTCTACAAGAGAGTTTATAAGTGATGTAGCAATAACTTCGAAAGCTAAAATAGCTATAAATTAATAGTAAACGTGTTGGCAAATGGATCTTTACAACATATAGTTTGCAACTGATAAAAATAGTGTACAAATTATCGAACAAAATAGTAATAGAATTAATTCATTTGCTCATGTAAAAAAACTAAGAAGGAACAATAAGAAAATGTTGAATCGAATGCAGATAGCAAAAAAGTCAAGCTGATGACTCTTCTCACAGTAGTATTAAAATGATTAACAGCAGTACTACTTGTATCATTGCTTTAATAGTACCGAATAGCGAGATGAGTCTTCTTACCCAAACATCCTTTTTCCGTCACTCGAAAATAAACCATTCCACGAGCAAGTCGTATATGCAGCCGACCATCATCCAAGAAATAGTAACAAATGTGTTGAAACATGTCATGAACTGTAGACTGACAACGAGACTGTAAATCAGAAAAAGGAAGTCCCACGTTCTCACTAAATTTTTTCAATACTGAAGTCATGGTCAGAATATAGTTAAGAAGAGGCAAAAACTGTGGGTGTACGTGGTATGAGTAAATATCACAGAAGAAAGAAGTGATATCAGATAAAAGTGTAATGTATATACTACACACAAAACCACATAATAAGCAAAATAAAAGCACAACAAAGTTGAAAAAGTAATCGCATATACAACTGAAAAGAATATATGAGTTTTCATTCATTAAATAGAAAAAAGGAAAGTGAAATAATGAAGCAAAACTTGAAGTACCGAGGAAAGTGCGCAAAAAAGCAGACAATCTTCAGGTGTTCTCATGCGCCACTCGCTATGATACGGGACTAAGTCTGCTAATCGTTGACCAATATATCGTTCGAAACATGGCTTCAACTCTTCAATATTACTTATACTCACTCATTCATTATTTTCAATAATTTTCTTGGAATATCTGATTTTCTGCATTTATTGCACAACATAAATGTACTACTTGTACTCATCACTACTGTTTTCTATTTTATTGTCTGTTTTTTGAACAAAGGAAAAGTATTTACACAATAATCTATCCAATACAAAAAATTGTATCAGTAAAGATTATTTCCATCTGCCAATTTTTTTCATTGCTCATAAATTCACACTACTACTACACAAACACTACTAATAAAAACTTTGCAAAATATACTGATCTACCAATTGTAATAAAAAATCGTTTATTTATAAATTTACATGTAACTGAGCAAAAATAAACACCAAAAAAAGTAATTAGATTAACAGCTATGAGAAAGTATTATTTAAAAAATTATAGAACAAAATACTGCAAGTAAATTGGATTACCTTCAATGTTCGTTTTTTGATAATCGCTAGTAATAGATAACGATATTACGAGAACTATGTGTATTGATGAAATTACAGCAAGAGAAACAGTAACAGCCATCTACTGATTTATCTATCAATCTACTCCATGAATGTCACTAATCAGGAAGGAAGAGATATGACTGAAAGGAAGAAGAGGGTTGTTATCAGAATGACAATTTGTTTGAGAAAGGAGAAGACTTCTGTTCTGAATGTAGAGATGAAACTGCTTTTAATCGTGTCGTTCCGCATCTTCTTCCATCATTTCGCCACCAGCATTGACATCATATCTATCTATCTATCTATCTATCTATCTATCTATCTATCTATCTATCCCTCCACAAATTCTCATCTATTACCTTTTACTTATTGTTCTTTTGTACCAAATACGGATACAAATACTTTAAAAACGGTTCGTATTTGTGGGATAATCAGCAATTAGAACGTTTCAGGGTGAATGAGGTCACTAACGGTTCATAATCAGAACCTCATCGTTTGTCAGTTGATCTCCTCATGGAATACTATTAATCTCCTGGAATAATCTCATTTTTATCTGGCGGAACCACTAACATGATTAACGAAATTTAAGTTCGCAAATAAATAAAACACCTTCACAAAGTCATCTTAAATTAGGCTCCAACAAAGCTAAAACTAAATCTCAAATTACCTTACTCATACATTCATCTATCATCAATCAAATACTTTGCTTGCTTCAAAAAGGTCAATTGTAAAAGTAGAGTAATATACAAAGCATATTCAACTTTAGACGTCCAAGGACGACTTACTAAATCATTAAAACATAATCTTCATCAAATTTGTATTCATTTCCATTTTATTAAACACTTGATACATAATTTCATTAAAATTAATACAATTTAAGACTACAATAATTCAAATTTACATATTTTTAAAGAAAAAAGCAAATATATGGCGGATAGAACACGAAAACTTTTTCCATTATTATAAGTATCTGAAACCCTAACTTTCGTTCTAACAAAATGCAAATAATTAGCTTTATGACTATAAACTCTATTAATATACAAATTGATGCAATTCTTTGGCTTGATGAAAGCAAAAATTTTAATTCACGAAACACGTTTGAAGTGCATATGGAAAATGCATGGCAGAGTTCGTTAGTGAAAAATTCGCAATGCACTGAATAGATTTTGCAGATCCAAGTTTACTTAACATTAGAAATAAAATAAAGAACCACAACAATTAAGTTTTATGGAGTTCCTATCCAATATAAGTGATGAATAATAAGAATTTGTAAGTTTTCAGACAATTAAAATTTGTGGAGTATCAAAATATGCTTATGTTTGTCTTCAGTTTAATGATAATAGATTTAATTTAAGACTTATTTAACTTATGAAATATCATAAAAATACCATTAAAATAAATGATTGCCATACCTGAACGACTGAAATCTTATTAAAATTAACCGAACAGACCATAAGTACAATTATTGAAATTCTATTACTCAAAATCATTTGAATATTCTTATACTAGGAACATATTTTCCTGAACTAATAATTTACAGAGATGAAAACAAAGAAGCACATATATAATATTGTTTCTTTGGAGGCAGTGAAATTGCTATTTTTATTAATAAATGACAATTTTCTACTTGCTAATACCGCCTTTTATATCTGTAGCAATTTTCTTTTGTCGTTTAAGTTCTTCTGAATCAAGCGTAGTACGCAATTCACCAACAATCTGTTTGGTTTTCCCAAAGTAAACTTCATTTAAAGTTGAACGAATTTTGCTCTCCATATCCTTAAAAAATAATAATTTGTTGAATACCTGCATAGTATTTTATAAAAAATTTTCCATCACATTATTTACACTGAAATAAATAATAATAGCAACCAAAGACGAAATAAATTTAATTATATCTAGCTGATGCTACCAAATGGTTAGGTCTCAAAATCGTGATAACCTCAAAACATTGCAGTAAACCCCTTACTTCTATCATTTTGCCAATATTCATAAGATGAGTGTTTACGAAATCATTGATCGGATGATCAGCTTCGACCTAGATTGAGCATCAGAACAATAAATGAGGAAGAGCATGAGCATGAAGTAACTGAAGAGAAATTTGCGATCTACTTTAAAAATACCTGTCGTGTAACAGACCCTCCTAGATTCATCATACCACTAGCCTGCTTTGTCATTTGCAACCAGAGCATAACCGTACTCGTAAGCTTGTAATGAGCATGCCTACCACCGGCCTGAAAACATTTCATTTGCATTATATTATTGGAAGACGTATGAGTCATGAAAAACAAAGATGTGCTGTTTCCTAACATGAACGAAGGAATAAATGATTGGAAATTGAAATAAAAAATACTTTTTCCTGTATTTCAATAACATGGATGGAGTCCCAGCATCCTTCAATGTTTCGCAAACCATCACCAATTTTTTTGATCAGGACAACACCAGCGAAACCATAATCCAAATCCCAAAAATAAACTGAAGACACACCGCCTTCGAAATATCTAAAAGTATTTAATGTTATGCGATGAACGATGCTAGCAAAATAAAATGTCATTAATCCATTACATACAAACTAAAAAAATCCATAACTAATATAATTTTGAATTATTAAAACAGAATATTATGACCAATTAGGAATAGTTACGACAAGATAATCAAATAGATACACAAAATTTTCAATGGAAAGGCAGGCTCCAAACGATTAAAAATGAACTAAGTCAGCATTTATGCACTTACGCATTTCGATAGGCCTCAAACGCTGCATTCATTTCTACTTCAAACTTACGAAGCTTATCTGACGGCAAAGCACCATCTTCCAGTGGTGGATCATAGGTATTAGACCATGGAGAGCTGAAAAATACTTGAATAATAAAAAATTCGTTACAAGAATTGTTCCAAGCTTCAATTTGAACAATTATGATTAGAAAAGAGAAAGATTATTTTAGTTCAGACAACTGATGGTTGGGAACTAAAGTTGCAGAGAAAAAGTAACCGATAACTATCGCCATCTCGATTGTAATCGCATAGAAGATATTCTTTTCCAGTCTCTTTATCGCGAGCAATTTTCAAAGGTTGATCAACTGCACTTAATAGATCATCAACTAAACGTGGACACAAATCAACTAAGTCATTCAAATTTTTTTCAACTTGTTGAGGTGGCAGACGTCTCATCAAATCTAAAGCACAATCTAGTTGCTGGTCTCCCTATAAAAATTTCTTTTACACATCAAATTAGATATCTTTTAACATATTTTGAAATAAAGCACTGTCATGAGAAAAAATTCCTGAGCATGACAAATTTTAAAACTAATTTCGGAATATCATATTGCCATACTAATAGGTTTAAATTCGAGTTTAACACCAACATTCTATGATATAACTAAAAGGGTCTTTGATCAGTCACAATGAAATATGACTTATTATATCAGTCAATGATGAACATATATGATAGGAAAAAATAAATCCAAAGCTTACCATGATTTATGGAAAGCGATAAAACACCAGACAGAAAGTTAGGAAGACGATATGCGGCTAGATGATAATATTTGACTGCAGCACCTGAACACTGCAACTGATAAAAATACTGAAATTATGCAAAAAATAAGAAATATATGCAAATTAAACACGATGCGAAAAAATCTTATTGCAAGGATTTCTAGCTCTCCAGTCGACTTTACTACATAATATTTGTGAACAATGGAAAGAGGTCATTCACACGCTAATAAATAATAAATGTCATGTGAAAAGTTACTGAAAAAAGAAAGATTGCAAGTATCGTAACATATCGGTCTTAAATTTATATAATATTGAAATTGGTCAGTAATCAAGGCTTAAAGCTCATGATACGTACGGGAAAGGCTGGTAATAAACACTGCAGGCTGTAAATAGAAATTAACTGACCTCGTAATTTTTACTACCCCCAATCTACGACCATATTCTTACTACTGAACGGCACACAATTTTCATTCACAAAATTTAGAGAACGCTGGGTCTATAGCATGCAACGCTGATGCAAATTATTGGCGCATAAGCTGCAAGTGAATTTTTTATAAGAGTTCCATGTGTGGAGAGTATTTGCTCAATAAATAAATACGGTAATGATCTCTGACTCATATACTTAGTTAGAAAGATTATAGAAGTAGCAAACAATCACAAGAGCATGGAAATTTTTTACAAAAAAGCTGAAAATCAATTAAGTGCTTTTAGAGTCACATCTGAGACTGTAATTCCCAACGATTCTTCGAATCACAGTGACTCCAACCGTTGCGGTGGAATACCATAAACACCTCTACACAGTGTGTGATC